ACTAATAACGTTTAGAGCGCTACTAATAAATTATACTAGGTTATTAAGTTTATTAAAGCTATAACTAAACGCTATAGAAATATTTATACTTCTCTAGAAAAAGTTAAAGAGAAAGAGCTAGTTATTAGTAGAACGTAAGGCCTTATACTTTTACTACGTAGAGAGCTTATAAGATATAGCTAGACTAAAGCCTTACTTAGCTATAGTAAGAGTTTATTTAAAGTAATAATAGAGAACGTAAAAGCGTAGAGTAAACTTAAGTATAGTTTCTAATATAGGCTATATAGTACTATAAGTCTTTAAATCTATAATATAGGCGTTTCTGCGCTAGGCGTATAACTAAATATAGTAGTTCTAGTTATAGAAGGCGTAGCGTAGTTTAGAGTTAATAAAAAACTCTAGAGTATACTTTATATATCTTACCTTATAGTAGCTATAGAATAAATAAGATAAATCTAAAAGAAGTTAGCTTATAGTCTAGACTCTTACAAGAACCTAAATAAAATAAACTAGAACTAAGCTTATACTTATACTCTCTAAACTTTATAAGTAGCGTAATATATAGTAGATATAGAAGCTTCTTAGCGTTAGACTTAGTAAACTTTAAATTATTAGAATCTCTCTCTACCTTAAACTAGTCTATATAGTAACACTTATTCTATTATATATTAGTTAGAGTATAGTCTAGACCTAATTAGAGTTCTTACCTTAGTATTATAGAAGAAGCTATGTCTAGATAGACTAGTTAGCTTTCTTAGATCTTAGCTACTAAAGGCGCTAGTAGTAGTAACACTAGTGTTACTATTACGCGCGTCTAAGAAACTAGTAGAGGTAAGTAGCACTAAAGCTACTAACTAGGCTAAGATAATATAGAACTATATAGCAAAAGATATAGACGTAGTCTAGAATTAGTAGGTTTTTAAAAGAAGCTAGCGCAGAGGTTATAAAGTAAAGAATTTAAAGTAGGTAAAGATAAAAGTAAGTTACGTTAGAGCGTAAGTAAGGCCTTAGATAGAGCTATATTATAATTATAAAAAATTATAATATAACTCTAGTCTAGATATAGTTTAGAGTTATTATAACTCTATATATAAGCGTAGTAGAGGTTATATAAGTAAAAATTTTTACGTAGTTTAAAAACTCTATATACGCAAACCTACTTTTACGCGTTACTTATTAGGCTTATAATCTTAATATAGAAGTATTCTCTATAACGCTATACTACTCTCTAGACTAATATAGTAGAAGTAAGTTTAGAGGTATATAATAGTCTTAGGCTTTGCCTAAGCCTAGACTAGAATAAAGAAGATATAGGTAAGGTCTAGACTTACTACACAAATCTCTAGATTCTGTACGTAGCCTCTTAAGTTCTAAGCCTTATAATATTCTATTAATACTTAGTATATTCTAACTCTAAGGCTAGTCTATAATATAGCCTAAGAAGTAATACTATAGATAGCTTTATAAGAAAAGAAGATAAGTTAAGTTAAGCTATAATAAGCTATTCTAGTATAAACTAGAGTATATCTTTACCTTTTTTTTTCTCTATATAGAGTTTTTTAGAGTATTTAATAGTGTTTTAAACTAGAATAGCCTCTAATAGTCTAAAAAAGTCTAGTATAGGCTATTTTACTCTAACTCTTTCTAGCGTAGAGTTAATAGTTCTTTAAGTCTTATAATTAGTTTTAAAGAATAAAATATTATACTTTAAGTAAATTTATATAGATAAATAACTTTAACTATTATAAGAGACTTTTATATTTATAGAGAAATTTCTATCTAGATATTACTTAAGAGCTTCTAACTATACTATAATAGCTTATAATAGGCTAAAGTAGGCTAGTACTACTTATTCTAAACTAATTCTTACTTATATATACTAGTAAACTCTATACTACTCTAGAAAAGGCTAAAAGAGCCTAAAAGAGAGTACTAAAGGCTATACTAGAGGTATCTAGATAATACTAGCCTAAAAATTCTTAATTTTCTTTTTCTTCTTATTAATCTTAGAAGTAAAACTAAGCTTAATATTTCTAAAGTTCTTAGAGTTCTTAGCTACTCTTACGTGCTACTACTCTAGGCTAGAGATCTTAAAGTTAAGAGTTATAATAGTACCTCTAATAAATATAGTAGTAGGCTTCTAGCTAGAATACTACTAAATAAGTTAGTATAAGCTATAATAAGGTAAAGTAGAGTAAAGAGTACTAAAGAAGCTAATAATAGCTAACTAAGAACTAGAATAGCTTATAATAAAGTCTATTAGAGTCTATTAGAGTATATTAGAGTATATTAGAGTATATTAGAGTATATTAGAGTATATTAGAGTATATTAGAGTATATTAGAGTTACTTATAGCTTACTTAGAAGAAATACTTTTCTCTAACTTCTACTTAACTTCTAGAGCGCGCTTAGTAAATATAGTATTAATACTCTTAAAGAATATATTTTACTTCTTACTTAACTTAAACTTCTTATTAAGTTAAGTACTAGACTTAGAAGTTTTAAGTAAATAAAGCGCATTTATATAAAACTATATTTTATTCTATAAAAGAAAGTAATACCTACTATTATTAGTTAAAATAGCCTAGAATAGGCTATATTAGACTAAAATAAGCTACTTAGATACTATAAATACTCTACTAAGTCTAAAAGAGTTAGATAAAGTTATAAAGAACTAAAGTAAGCTAAAAGAAACTAGAATAGGCTTAAATATACTTCTAAATATACTTTCTAACTTAATAGCACTAATACACTAAAGTATACTATAAATTCTTACGCGTAGTATTAGTAAAGTTAACTAAAGAAGGTAAAATAATAGTAGTAATAGCTATAGCTTAGATAGTCTTACTATTATTAAGTAGATCTTTAATAGAGCTAATAGAAAGAGAGAAATTATTAGTAGTAGTAGTAGACTTCTTTCTAGTTTCTATCTACTTTAGAATCTAGTATATCTTATTATAGTCTAGAAGTCTCTTAGAGAGCTACTTCTAGTTAGTAATAGTCTAAAATAGCCTAAAAAGAGCTAAAATACACTAAGTCTATCTATTATAGAGCTATTTACTACCTTTATACTTAAAATAGAGTAAAGAGAGCTAATAAAAGCTATAATAAAGTAGAAGAGAGTAGAAGAAAGACTTATAAAGAAGTACTTATAACTATAAGTTTAGTACTATCTATACTAAAAAGTCTAGATAGTAGAGCTATTCTCTAAGATAGTAATATTCTTAATTATACTACTAAAAATATTATAAGTATTATTATCTATAAGTATAGAGAAGTAGTAGCTAATAGTACTAAAGGTATAGTTACTATTCTTTAACTAAGAGGTAATATAGCTAGTATAAGAGGTAAAGCTTATTTTTAAAAGCTTTTTTATATAGTAGTTAGATATATAAATATAGTTATTATCTAATATAGTAAAGATTAGTATAGAATAGCTTAGATTAGACTATTAGAAGCTAGTGTAAAGTATATAAAGTAAATATAAGTAAATAGATAGCGTAGAGGTATAAAGTAGGCGTTAATAGGTATAGGTTACTTTTTATAGTCTAGTTAGTATTATTTTAGTATAAGTTACGCTAAAACTCTCTAATTTAGTCTAAAATACTCTATTCTACTTTTAAAGAGGCTAGAATAAAGTATTTTAAGCTAACTAATTATTTTTAGGTTTTAGCCTTAAATAGAGTAATACTTATAAACTTAGAGTATTATAAAATAAGAGAATAGAAAAAAAAGATCTAACTAGCTAAAAATATTCTAGGCGTATAAGCTAACGCTAGCGCTACTAGTATAAGTAGTAGCTAAGTGCGCGTCTATATATAATCTTATAATTTTCTATATCTACTAGAATTTTCTTACTAGCGTTTCTATTACCTATAAGTATATTATACCTACTTCTACCTAGTATAGACTATTATAGACTAGAATAGACTATCTTAAGCTATAGCTACTCTCTTCTACTTATTACTTATTTCTTAGACTAGATTAAAAGTAATCTACTTTAAAAAAAAAAAAAATATTAGATTCTAGCCTATAAAAGTTTAGGCTAACTTAGCCTTAGGTATAAATACCTTAGAACTACTACTATAGCTTAGTAGTAATTTATCTCTAGTCTTTTTAGAATAATATACCTAATTATAGTCTAATATTATATATTTAGTATTTAACTAACTCTATTATTTAATAATTATTATCTTTAAATTTTTTTTTTTTAAAAATTTTACTACTATACTATTATATTATATAAGAACCTAAAATACTAAAAAGTACTCTCTCTTTTTTAAGAAAATCTAAAGTATATTATATATACTAAGAATATAAATATAGTATATATAGCTAATATCTTATAAATAATAACTTAGTAGCTTAAAACTTTCTAATTACTAAAAAAGTAGTAGTATTAGATCTAGTTTATTAACTTTAGCTACTAGGCTTTTAGCTAATACTTTATAAGTAAGCTATTTTAGATACTATATTTAATAATAAAGTATAATATACGTAAGTACTAGCTATTTTAGCTAAATATAAAATCTTTATCTAATATTAGTATAAATAAAAAGAGTAAAAAGATATAGTAAAGATAGCTAAGTAGCTATTATAAGTAATAGGTTGTTTAGTTAATTATCTAGTTTATCTAGTTTGTCTAGTGCTAGTATATTAAATATAAAGTCTAACATGAGATAGTCTAAATAGGTATAGTGACGCGCCACGCTAAGCGCACGGCTCTCGCACAGTAAGTAAATACACTTGGGGCTTCCTCTTATCCTTTTCACACACACAAGAAAATAAGATACAATGGCGAACAAAACTAAATACGAGAAGTTTCTTAAACGAAAAAACCGCAAACAACGAAGCAGCATCAGAAACGCGGAGTGCGACCGCGAATCAAACATCAACAACCAAAAACGACATCCTAATCACTTTGGAAACCCAGGTATGAGACTCACCCCAAAAGCCGCCTTGGAGAGAACACTGAGAGTTTACCGATTTCAGAACCTTTAATGGACACCGCATATAATCCCGACCACGACCCGTTCGAAAATGATGACATGGACAGCAAATGTGCCAAAGACAAGCACATCCGCTTGTACGCACACGACGGCAAGTGCTACAATCACGCTGTCATCGCGAAGGGTCCCTCTGTAGCGGAAAGCGACATTTCATCGGTACCCGTCGACGTCCAGCATCCCCTCTCCACCGAGACCACAGCAAACGCGCAGCCGGAGAGTGATATCAAGATGCTTGAGACTCTTCATTCGGCGTCATATATCGAGGGTAAGACACGAGCAAAGGGCACTAGTAGAATTATATCGCTAGAGCAGCCTCCATGGCGCACAAGCCTTCCCCCACGGAAGCCGGAGCATGACTACGGTGTCACAAAAGAAGGCGTATCACTTCACGGCAGACTGTCGCCCTGGCTCTACCTTTGCGATCACACCTGCGACCTGGGCTTATGCGACATCACCTTCCGCCTAACTTATGCTTGTCCGCTTGGTCGGGCCTGTCGCTGGAAGCACGAGATCCTGTGGGACGAGCTGAGCTTCCTCATCACTAGCGGTCGCCTCAATCTCCATCGAGCTCGTACCATGCTCGCCAACTGGGAATCGACTACGACGCCGGCTGATGACGTTGACGTTTGGTGCCGCATGAACACCATCATCGACCGTCTACAGTATCTCGAGGCGCCAGCTGTGATTAAATACACATATCCGTATCTGTTCCCCGTCCGCGACTCTCACGCTCTCTTCGAGAGACTGAGCGACTGATAGAGCGTTGGGGGATACATTACAGCAACAATATCAAGGATGCAGCGCAGAGCTCTTTCTCCTACGATACGCGATGCCTGGCTGGCAAGCAGCGCACCCAAGCACTTTTTGCTTGCCGAACGCCGCACTTGCCGACACAGGACATGCAACCTCCTCGCGCCGAGGCGCCGGACCTCAAAGCCTTTCTAACCAGGCGGAAGAACTTGTCCGTCCTGGTAGCTTCGGGTAGCGGCCTCCAGCGCCTTCCATGCCACCCGCTTCTTGCGCAGTCGTTGCTCTGAAGTTCTACTTTCGCAGCAGGCGTAGCTCACTCCATGCCCGAAAGATCTTTGCACTCCGCTGTGATCTTTGGGCGTGTGAAAGTCGTCATCGTGCGATCTGGTGCTGTCTTGATCGCTTTTGAGATCTGATAGGTGCCCTGATCATGCGATGCACCCAACCATAGAGCGATTGCCTAGTACGTATCGGTCTCGCGCTTTGTCACTTGTTGACACAGCCGTTGCCTGATGCCAACCGGTCTAGCGCTCTACTTCAGTGTCAATTCGATCTGCTGTGCTCGCATAGCTTGATCGTAGACGCATTAGTTGATGGGGGGAAGAGGTGAGGGTGTACGACTAGAATGGTGAAGATCATCACAGCATGTAAAGTACACCAGTAGCAGTACCACACCTCGTGCATTCTCTTCCTTCTTCCCGTGTCTTCGTTCGCATCGTACTATCTAACCCATGAGTCGTACACGATGCCTGCCAGCGCCACACAAGTATATCATTCCGATCTTCACACGCGTTCGGCATCGTCACCGCCAACATCTGTGATGTGGAACAGCAACATGACATCCCACTTTTCCTTGAAGACAGTAACCTTATTGACAGTCTTGTGACCTAGTCCCTTCCTATGCTGTATGAGGAGGTAAGCGACCCCGGAACCATTCGGTGAGCCTAATAATGCATTGAACTCCACTGAGCCTGCGCTGTATGTTGTCCCTGGCCATTCTTTTACAACAAGTCTGCCCTGTAACGTTAGATAGGTAACACCAAAGCGCGTGACATCGTTGAGGACGTTGTGTCGAAGTACGTAACGTAGGTTTGACTTCTCGTTGGCTTTCGACAGCCATTGGAGATATGCTACATCCGACCAGTGTTTCAATTTCGGGATAACTGAGTAGCATCGTGCGCACTCTTCAACCATGGCTCGGGCTGTGTAGTTGTCATACGCCACTATAATTCCATCCGAGGGGTTGATGACTTGGCAAAACAACGCTTCCGTTGCTGCACAGCCTTGACCACCCACCGCTTTCGGGTCCTCGCGTTGGTGGCCGACGCACAAATTGGGTCCTTCATTCTCATCAAACCCCCCATTTAGTCCAATGAGCTCCAGAATGTCGCCGAACCATTCCTTTGCGGTATCTGGGTACGTAAACTCGTCCTCTTCGTACCCCCATTTTTGGAGATCTTGCACAGCTGTGAAAACACTTTCAGTCGATTCTGATGGTGCTGCGATGATCAGTTTAGATAGCTTGGCGCCTTTTACAACCAGCCTCTCGAACTTTTGGCTGACGCGCCACCAATCAACTTGCTTCGCATCGTTCGAGCTACTCGTGTCTACTTTTAGCGACACCGCAAGCTCCTCAAACGGTGATGAGTCTGGATGCGCGGCTGGAACTGGGGTCGAATCTTCCAGCGCACGGGTTTGAGGATTTGACATCATCTTTTGAAGGAGTCTGTTAAACATGTCGGGATGGAACTGAGGTCGCGCTCGGATGTAGTGAGTACAACTGGCATACTGGAGCGATTGTATACCAAGTGGACGCTGTGATGAGTGACATTGTTCACAAACAGCTGTGAAATACGTGTTGTCAACATAGTCAGTACATGAGACTCACCGTAAACCACCGACTTTGTACTCTACGCATTTCACGGGCGCGAATGGATTGGAAAACGATATGCGTTTGCATCTTTCCCTATCTCTTCCCGCTGGCTGCATAGCGCGTGTTCAGTTCGGTCTGGATAAATGGTATTGACATTTAAGCGGCGCACGTTGCTGTCTCGAAGCTCTTTCGGTTTTGACTAAAGATTCCAGTGATGGAAGTGCTGTCGTGGAGAGGTCTGATCGCGCACGTCGTTCCGGGACTCTTCCTACACGCAAAGTGGTGTTGAGGATCAACTGAGCCACTGCGCAGTGTCGCATTCGGCTGATGGTAATGATCCTTCATAGGAAGTAGTCGTTCCAGCTTGCTTGACGGATGATCTCAAATCTGCGTGTCATCGAAGTTTCGGGGTCGGAAGTGCCGACGCCATGCCCTGGAAGGGACTAGGCGCACTCAGATTAAGGTTGCCATCTTCCCGATGTTCCGACGACACGTCTTCATCACCCTTCTCCCTCAAATCTTGCGCATCGTCACCTTTCACTGCCGTACTTGGGCGCAGACAATCCATACATCAGGGCGCTTACTGAAATGTCACAGTGAGTCGCGTAGTCACAGTATTTTCTTCAAGGTGGGGCAACGGCAGCGGTGCGGTTATAATGGTATGGATTCTACTAATTGTCATCGAGAAAACAAGAAGAGGCGCTCCCGGGAAGCCCGTAGAACGGCATCGCAGCAGCGACCTCGTGGGCTATTAGCTTGGTGGGTGACCACTACCGAACGTTCAATTGTGAGTACTTCGATTTTTGCTCTTTTTTGCCCTTCTTTGCTCTTTTTGCTCCTTCCTTTTCCTTTTGCCAACCACAGCGAGCTATACTTCAATGTGTTTTCACTGTTCTCGCTCACCTTTTCACGTATGCCTGGAGTTATTCATCTGTGTAGAGGATGCGTTTCGTGACATTACGTGCTGTCTTTCCGCCTACATGTCTCTACTGCTATTGACGCCAACGCCCGTATTTACCACTGTATACTTCAAACCTCCGTTTTACTTCACTCTCGTACTCGCGCCACCCGAGGTATGCATCAACACCTAGCGCGCTTATTCGATTCGTTCGCAATACTAGACCGAACGTTCGCTACCACCTTCTCCAATTCACGAATCCGGTTCTTCGCCTCTTCAAGCTCTTTGCCCTGCTCTACCAGCTTCGCATCCTTCTCCGCGATCACTTCACGAAGTTGCTCAACCGTTGTCGGCGGCAACACCTGTTCATCCGCCACACTCTCATCCTCCACAACCTCTTGTAGAGCCCTGGGCTCCTCTTCCTGCTCTTGTTCGATGCTGCCTTTGGCCGCTGTATACGGCTTCGCGATGTTCGGAGGTGGGAACTCGACCGATGCAGCACCTGTAGTCGGTAAGGCAGTTGCCAGGACGGGCGCTGCTTCCGTCTCGTTGACGGTCGCTGCGGGTGTTGTGATCAGCTTCACTCGGCTGTCACTCGTCTTAGGTGTCCTCGCCCCAATGATGGCCTTCTTGAGTAGTGGTTCCGGATAGTCGCGACCCTCGTAGAATTCGCGCACCAGCGGATGATCCATATTCGGACGGATGGGCCAGGTCTTGTTCTCCTGGGGCATGATGATGCCAGCGAGGACGAGGTACACCTGCTCAGCAGCCTCTGGACGGACCTGATCGCCATGCGGAGGCCTGTATCCAAGTAACTCCCAAAGTACCATTGGCATGTACAGGGCGTGACATCCATCTCCGACATGATCCCCGGTCTGGCATATCGCGCACTCCTGATCGCATTCGCGGGGGCTGTCGACGTGCTTCGGCTTCCAGCAGGACATGCACTTGTTACGCTTCTTCATGAGGTTGTTGCCGAACACTTTGTCAATCTGCATCATGTCGTAATAGCAGCCCGGCGGGGGGAGGTAATCCTCGATTGGACGGGACAAGACGTTGACGGGTTCGATGCGCTTTCTCTCCCATCCATTCGGGCCGCGATTGATCTCCAGGACAATGGTCGAGTTCGCTAACTCCTCGGTCGAAGGCAAACGATCTATCAAACTTCGTCAGTCCGGAACGGGTACCAGGTGGGGGTAAGGCATTAGCAGCGGCTCAAGCCGTCGGCGCAGAGGCAACGCATGGGGGCTACATGCTATAGACTGCGGAGCTACTTACAGGTGTACTTGTCGTATGAGCCGTACCCGGTGGTAGAACGGGCGGCGGGTGGCTTTTTCGCATGCATCGCCTGGCTCAAAAGATGGAACGACATCCTGGTAGCGGGCTGTGTAGACTGTTCAATGAACGGGTCGGAAGCAAGGCGCCTTGCAGCGTATGGAAGTTGCGCGAGAGACTTGTGGCGAGACGACACTGGTGCGCTATCGTTGAGAGTCAAAAGCTTTTGCACCGTGCGGAAAGGTCTGCGTTAGCGAGCGCGCCCTTTCACCGCGTCATGGTTTTTGATAGAGCGCTCTTTCACTCTTTTTGGACGTCGAAAAAGGTGACTGCGGGCGTCGACTCATAGTCAGCAAGACAGAGCAGCAGACAGACGTCAGTGCGATCAGGTACCCGTAGGAGCTGCGTGGAATTAGCCCCTGTCCAGACCGCTTGGTTCGTCATTTCAATATCGCTCTTTATCGAGACCACACGACGATGTATCAATATATGACATTCATACATGGAGCAACCACGCGCGGGTGTAGTCACCTTGAACGACTTCCCTTAACCATCCGACTATGGTTCGACAATGCCAGGGAAGTAAGTCATGACATATAGCGTACGAGGCCGCCAGGTAAACTCATAGCTTGACTACGAATCGACATCGGACTCGTGGTTCCCTCACATGGGACTTTGACGACTCAAGGTCATTTACGCATAAAACTCGCCAATGTCCGAAGACCTCGATTTTGCTATATAAGAAAGAGCAGCGCCATTATCCCAGCAAGTATCGCGCGTCTTGTATGATCGCACGATACGCCGAGGTAAGGTCAACTACCCCGTCTTTCGAATCAGGATAGAGCTATGAGTTACATGTATACAGACGCGCGTCGCAATGATCGCTCATCGAAAAGCAAGCAACGAGTGTATGGATCCACTCAAAGCATGAAGCAAAGAAACGAAAGAGGAAGGTCTATAACTCTTCCTCAGTTCAGTCCATGAGGGCCCCACGGGATCTCCTTATCCTCCACTGGCGCTGAGACTTCGTCGTCTTGATCTTGTTGTACTTTGACATCTTCTCTTCGGACGTCATTGGCTTGTGCCCCACCATTCTCAGCATCCTCGTCATCTATATCAGCTGCTGTGTTCTGTACAGGAAGGGGCTGGTCGGTCTTGTCCTCAGCGTCTTGCGTTCATGAGGTAGCTGGTGGCGACTAGGGTGGGGCCTCTTCTGTTTGCATGGAGGCAGGAGCTGCGTCCGCAGTCGGAGTAACATCTGGAACAACATTTGCCTTTGCGGCGCCTGTTGGCTTGTATTTCTCATTGAAGACATGGGGTTCGGTAGTCGCCGAATTCTTCTTAAGTTCATGGTACTCGCCGTCGCTCTTCTTCATGTCCGCTTCGAAGTTGCCAAATCCTGTAGGAGCATTATCTTTTCGAGGCGGACAATTCTGGGCTTGGCCTTGACAAAGCTGACCAGATCCATCCTTGGGAAGGGCTGGGTACTGGCGGGAGAACTGGAGGCGCATCTGCTTCGGAGTCGGCGCTCGGTTTGGAGGCTCGCTAGGAATCATAAGTGCTGAGTAAGTCGGGAGCTTGACCCGGTTGTAGTGATATACAATCTTCTTGATGTCGGCCTTGTGGAAGCCGCGTCGACAGACGCAAAAGTCAATCAGCGCCTGGGAGATGGAGTGCTCCTACTTACACTAGTCTGGTTGGGCACAGTTCGGGCAGGAGTTGGATTCCTTTGCCGCAGACTGGTCGTAAAAGATATCAGGACATTCATCAGCGTAGAGATGAAAGTACATGCCAGCCCTCGCAATACCATCCCTGTCACTCGAGGTGGACTGTCTGGGGGGAAACGGGCATTGACCACTGGGGCGGTCGGCATCTATTGTGTCCAGGAACCTCCAGAATTCCTCTGGTGTATTGCACACTACGGTTTGGTTCTGGGTCTGCTGTCCAGCGGGATTGGAGTGCTTTTGGGTGAGCGGGGGGGACTGCTGGGGGGGCTTGGGTTGCTGCTGGTTTGCCTGCCGTTGGGGTTGCCGCTGGCCTGTCTGCTGGGATGTCTGCTGGGGTTGCTGGTCGAATTGTGCCTGCATGAATTGCGGCTTCCCGTATCGTGGCTGCACTGCTTGTGGGTGCACAATCTGCGGCTGGTTCTGGGGTTGCTGGGACGGTAAAGACTTGTTGGGATTCCATTTGGAATCGGTGACACCGCCTGTGAGTCGATCTGAAGCCCTAGAGACGCGGGCGGCCTGCTGTGCTTCGTGGTGCTTGAGACGGGCATCCGCAAGCCATATGCGGCGATCGAGATCCTTTGCCACATACAGGTCCCAGACCAGGGGATACGTGTGTAACCATCTCCGAATGCCGTCGTCGACTGGATGGACATCGGCGTAGGGATCTAGTTCCGCGGCCTCTAGCTGTAGCCCCACCCGATAGACGAAGTCTACAGCCCTTTCGAAATTAAGGTCGTTCTTGACTTGGCCTCCAGGGAATTCTTCATGAAGTCAGTAATGGACTGTTTGCGACCAGGCACTGACTTACGTCTATTTGTCGGCGTTTGATGTACTGGGGCCTGATTGATTGTGGGCCCATAGGCCGCAGCGGTCTGAGGTGCCCTTGGCTGATGGGCGCTTGGGTTTCCTGGGTGGTTCTCTAGTAGAGCTTCCAGAAAGTCTTCATAGGTGAAAACATTTGTACTGGGGGGTGCTGTTGTGTTGTTGATGTTGTTTTGTTGACTTCGATCGGAGTACGCCATTTCTACGGCGCTGTTAGTATGAAATATGGACGTTTTGAAGGATACCTTACTTTTGGCGGTATCGTGATCAGTGCAGAAACTTCATGGGTCCAAAGGTCGGTTTGTCTTTGCGTGCGCGCCAAGCGCGCTAGTGCAGACCTGACGACACCGGGGGCGTCGACCGGGCTCTGGTCCCTCATATACGCTCGTGGAAGGAGCGAGGAAGAGCTTCAAAGTTGACAAAGAGTCACCCACTCCAGCACTTTGCGATACGCTCGAGGCGGGCGAGTTAGTAGCGCCTTTTTATGCAGGTGTCTTCGCAAGCATGGTCAAATTGGCTCTCCTATACATTGGTATCGTCTTTACTTTTGGTACTACAGTAAACTTGGCCTTCGCACCTACAATGACACTTCTGCTTCACGTACGATTCAGTGTGTGTGCCGAGTCTTGCCACTTGGAATTGCTAGCCAGTGCACTCGCTGCATTGCTATGTATACTCTATACTCTTACTGGTGATAGAGCACAACATCGCTGACAAAATACTAAGCTGTCGCTAACGACAAACACGGGGAACATTCGAGCCTTGTCTCGTTCACCTGTATACGTCAACCCGAGTCAACCACCGTGTCGTACTCTGAGTATCTGTTGTCATTCATGCCTGGATGCCTTTCCGGTGGTGCATTCTGGTCGGCCTCACACTGCTGCTCTGGTTTCATAAGCAGTTCGAGTACGCGCCGCACTTCAGAGGCTGTTTACTGGCACGCATCTTGGTGGTCCTGTTGGGTCTGGGGTGTGGTGAAATTTAATGCGTAGTTGTTATTATGATTCCGGTTCGCCAGAGCAATGATGATGCTATTACTTATTATTGAAGAAGCTCTCAAATTGTACGAGCTCTAGAAGTTGCTTTGGCAAGAGCGCGCGCGTTCTTGGTCCGTGCTCAGGTGCTCACGGGGAAAGTGCGCAGGTGGTTTTCACCGTGCGGCCAATTTACACAACGGAGAGGTTCAAGTCCCCAGAGTAAGACGAGGGCATGATATAGGCTTATGACTTTGACCGAAGCAACGTGAGTGTAAGAAAGAGGAAATTGTGGAAAAGATCATAAGAATCGAGATGAATGGCAGAGACGACGAGCGCGTCGCGCTTGCATACGAAGGACTGGAAACAGAAGGACAAGTGGAATTCCAAGAGCCAGACAGCCCGATAGGTGCTACCCAGGCTCGATGTTGGGGCAGCATCGTACCTGGGTAGGATAGCGATACACTACCTAGGTACCTATGCCTCTCCAATAGGCTGACCCGCTCCCATATATGAAATCACGGCTTCCGTTGTTGGTAGCCCGAATACCTAGGTCCCCTCGCACTTGCGGCTGGCTTAGTCGTCTCTCTCCAATCTTTCTGATGTTGACGTAAAGTCTGTGTTCGAATGTCCAACAATTGAGGTTTCATGGTTTGTTTGGAAGGAGGAGTCGAGCTTGTATGGCAGTGAAGGTGTCGGGGTGTCGGGTTCGAACGTGCCGACGCTATCCCCAATGCGCCACAGTACCCCGCACCATCTCTGCAAGGGGCTCAACATCTCTTGGGCGGACCACCACACGCAAGCTCGTTGTGCTGAGAACACCAGGCAAACTGAGTATGAACGCAGCGTAGGCAGTGTTGAGTACCCCAGCGACGGGCATGTGTGCACGTCAAACGGTAAGCAAGTCGGTCGCCCCCCCTAGCCTCACATACGTTCACATAGAGATGGAGCTGATCACAGATTGCATCGCCTACATTTGCAGTATCGCTGAGAATGCATATGCTAAATCGCTCATTCTACTAACACAGTCACCTTTCCCCATTCACAGTCTCTACTTCCTGCCAAACGTACCCAGTATGTCGACGCGTTCCCGAAGCAGCTGTTTGACGCGCGAGCCGCAAAGAACCACGGTTAGTCCTCATAAACCATGGCGCGAACCCCAGTTCCTTCGTACTCAGTGGCAAAACGGTCCAGGGGTTGGACATCAGATGCCGTGATGGTTGCATCCGGTTCGAAGCGGAATCGGCTGACGAGCATCGCCAAGGTGAGATAAATCTCTGCATATGCTAGATTGATTCCGAGACATTGCCTTGCGCCTTTGGAAAAGGTCACGAGATATTTCTCGAGTTCTTTCGCGTCTTCGGTCTGCCAACGAGCGGGGTTGAACTTCCTGGCGTCTTCGCCCCAGATGCTCTCGTCAAAATGCATGCTGTAGGCGGGTATGCCAACGACAGTTCCAGCGGGGACAATCTTTCCGTCTACCACGAGAGGCTGAATTCCATGTGGTACGACTCGAGGAAGTCGTCCCGGTACGGGCATGGCATAGCGCAATGATTCTTTCACACAAGCAGTCTAGCAGGGTTAGCTTCGTATTGCAATCTCATCAGTATACATACCAGATACGGAAGTTGCTCAAGTTTCACGAGCGTGAAATCTTGGGTCGCCGCAACGCCGCTTTCCCTCAGTTCCTTTCTGAGTTGTACAAAGATGGCAGGGTCTTTCATCATATGCTGAACAGCGGTCGAGAGAGTGAATGCCGTTGTATCAGAACCTGCAACCAAGATGTTCGCGGCTTCTGACTCGACTGTTGCATCGTCGAGGTGTTGCATGGCATCGAAGACAATCTCGCGGTCCAAGGACTTGCCGGAAGCCTTCAAATGTCTGAAGTTGACCACAGTTTTCGCGACCTTACGTAGGAAGCCCTGAAACCTTGCGGCCGATGTGCTGAGCCTGGCGGTCACACTTGGTGGGCATTTGAATGCAATCGTCCGAAGAATGGGGAAGTACAGCATGTTCCAGATCTGCTCAGATGCTAGATCAAAACACTTAATGAACGGTGCGTCGAACGTGTTGTCTTCGGCTTCGGTGAGCATATTGAAGGACTCCCCAAACGCGATTTGCGTAATAAAATCAACCGTAAGGCATCTGTAACGGTTTAGCGAAATCTTCACCCCAGATAATGTTGGGAGTGCTACCTGAAAGCGTGGTAGAAGTTGATAGCACCGTTGTCTTTGGTATCCGATAGTCTGTCACATAATAGGGTGACTTTGGAGAACAAGATTTGCTCCATGGATCTGATTGACGCTTTCGAGAAGAAGTTGTTGAGAAGCTTACGTCGCGCACGGTGCGCATCTTTGTCTGCCTCGTTGAAGCTATTGGATAGATCGTTGAAACCATCATAGAAGTACTTGTGTTTTAGAAAGATGTACCGCTGCGAGTAGATCGTATGATAGAGTGTGGGATCAGTAATGTGTAGCTCATTTGGCCCGATCCTGAGTGCGTGAGTGTCTGTTCAGGCTGTCAGTATGTAGCCATCTAATTCATGCTCAGACGTACCATATTTCTCATGCAACCGCTCGAGTATTTGTTCCGTTCTACCAGTCTTGCTCAAAGAGTACTGCCACCACGTTGATAGGGCCGCCTTGTAGGGCCCAGGAAAAGATGCTAGCGGATGAAAGTACAGCAGATAAATTGCACGGGACAAGCCCAAAATGAGAACCAAGATGACAAGACCCGTTCCAATCTCGAAGCTGGAGCGTCCGCCAAGGAAGGATATTTCCCACGCGTCCTTGAGTTGAGAGGCCATGTTTGCAGAATTCGCTTTGAGCCACGATAGAGTGATGATGCAAAATATCTATACACTCAGTAAGATTTAAATGGTTCATCGCTTCGTACATCGCTTCGTACATCCTACTGTATGTCAAGAGTTCATCGAGGCTCGTCGACTTGATGCTGTCGGCGTAATAGATATTCGGACCTTTACAGGAACCCTGCAAGGTTCCTCGCCAAGAGAAGTTGCATGAAGTCGCTCCACAGATTCCGAGAAGTTGATCGTTCGACGCGTGTTGTACGGTAAAGGTGCTGATGATGCCGGACTCAGGCGCGTTGCGCGGACTCCGTATCCACATTTACAGTACACCGACGCCCGACTCGCGTCAAAGTTCGTCCGCACCTTACACAAGGAAAGGTCTAGACAGGTCTGCGGACTACATCAACATAAAAACATGCAAAGTAGTTAACCTAACGTCGATGTAGGCCCTTAGGTGTGTAGCTTTTCCCAGGCCAACGTGCCCACACATTAGCAGGTCCTGCTATCATCAGATAATCAGAAAAAAGACCTTCGATTAGCATCACTGAGGCTGGCTACGAATCACTCTGTGACTGTATCAGTATTGTGCGATGGCGAGAGACGTTGCGCAGTTGAGAGGGCAGTCCCCTAACTCGGTTCGATTAGACCGTTCGCTAGCGCCGGCCCCGGGACGGGGCAGCTTCCGAACTCACATACGTCATCATGCCCCCTTGTCTCTATCCCTTCACACGGCAAGCTTCACCCTTTCAAGCCGCCACTTCCTCAGAGAACTTCGCCGCAGACTCTGCGGTGTAGCCTTCCGGCCACTGTCCCGTCATGCCAAATATCCCAGTGGCCCTGCTTCCGATCGCTTTCTCCATAGCGTGCTGAGCCACTTTCTTTTCCCATTCTTCCAGACTCATCTCCCCACTCAGAACCCGCGGCAATGTAATGGCCGACAACCCTGCGATATCGCAGCTTGCGCCAAGATGTGGGCGAAGCTGAATGAACGCCTCGCCGGCCAGCAGTAGCTTGCCTCCGAAGAACGAAGCTCTTGTATTGTCAAACGCTGGATGGTTGCATAAGTCAGCATATACATGCCATTGAATGGGTATGTGGACGGCGCATACAACGAACGGCTGTGAGAAGCGGCGGGTTCGACTCGTGGAAGATCTTCCTCCACAATGGAGACAACACCTGATCTCTTCGCTTAAGCTGAGCTTCCCAAACATCTGGGCGCAACAAATTCCCGGGTACAGTGACGTTATGTCGGACACCATTAACGTCGGTCATGTAATCCGCAAAGACTGGCGTCGAAGCGTCGCACGCATCATACCAACACCATTCGATGCCACGGTTCCCAGGACGCATGTCTCCGATCGTGCTAGGCGATAGATAGCTTCCACATGTTAGCCTTGGTCGACATCGTCATGTCCAACTTACACCACTATGTAGCTTCCGTCGAGCATGCAAAGAGGCATCTTGCCCTCTATCGCACAACGTAGCTCCTCGGGCGCATCCTTTTCAGGAAATTGTGATCGCCACGCTACATAGCCAACGTAATCGGTCTTCACATCAGGAAGGACAAGGCTACGAAGATGGGATCGTGCACCATCGGCCGCCACGACCATGTCAGCCGTCATCTGTTCCTCGATGCCATCTTCGCCTTTGTATGACACCACGAGATGGTCAGCTTGCTCAGTCAGCCCGCATACCTGGTATCCACAGCGCATGCTGACAGGCCCATGTCCTTCGACGTCTTTCTCGCAGGCCATCCATAGCAGACCGTGAAGGCCAGCCCAGCACGAGGTGCGCACGTCTTCCGTGAACGGCACTTCAACCAAGACCTTACCATCCTTGTCAAGGATTGGAAATGCGGGGTTGCGGAAAACGATATCGTCAAGCTCAACATCAGGTAGGTATGTTGTGAACACTTTCTGTGCGTTTGACCATAGGCTCAAGCCTGCAGCTCGGGCTTGTAGCTGCTGTTCAGTTCGCATCTCAAGAACCACAACACTATGGCCATGAGACTTGAGCGCCACAGCATGCATGAGCCCAGCTATCGAGCCACCAACCTATTGGAATCATCAGCCTCATGTCAGCCATGGCATATACGGCGACTTACCACAACGACGCGTTTGTTCATTGGTTCTGCCATGGTTCTCAAGATGGTACGCACGAATGGTGAGAGACGGATGATGCTCCGAGGACGCCTTCTGACGCGGAAACGGCCCTTTTATCACGTTGCAGTACGAACATGGGTTCTGTCTACTACTCAGCTGCCACCAACGCAGTGAGAAACGTCGCCCGTTGCGCGATTATTGAATAACGCAGCACCATTGGGTAAATGGGCAGCGAGCAACGCCTGCTTCTACATGAGTGGTTGGATCGCGTACCGGCATGCGGCGCAGTCGCATCGTGGCTTCGCCTATCTTCCTGTCCAGACCCGATCAACCAGTCAGACACATGTCTTGCGCAATCCTCCAGATCCTCTCCGTTTTAGCGAACCTCATATTCGGGGTCATTGACTGAGATGAACTAGCGGCCCGTTCACGAGTCCCGGGCACGTCACGTGAGGCGGCTTGTATGTCCGATGTTCTTGCCCCCATGTCGACTTCTGTTACGCGAGCTTCCTTCCAAGTCACTTCTCCACAAATATCGCGGCATGATATTAACATTCCGCGTACCCTGACTCTCACTAGCCTCTTCACATATATGTATAATCGTCCACGGAGACTCTCATCATCGGTGAGGACAACCCTAATGACTTGGTAACTCTGGAATTTATCTCACTGTCCTTTGGCCACATCCTACAAGCACATGCACGACAGCAGCGATAAGACTTTCTTTAGTATACGGCACGGTGATTCTCCACGCATGCCTCACTAGCAGTGGATCAAACAAGGGATAATGAACATGACTCAAGCAACCGGCATTAGCTCTCATCATGCTAACGCATCTGCTATCACAGAGTATCATATGGCAACGAGCGACCAATATGGGGATCGACTCAGTTGGACTACAATAGGTACCTCTCCAAAGGCCCACAGGTTCTCCTCCGGCAAAGTCGAGCAGGCCTTCCTTACCGACTTTGCTCCGCCAACCCTATCAGTCTTGCTGCCTAGTTCGGTGTCTGATACACCCCGTCGCCATCATCACGACCCTTCACAACCCGCTCTGCTCGTTGCCTTAGCGCCTTTCGGCTCGAGGTCCGGTAGGAGTATACAGGTCCGGGACGAAGCGATCGTTGATCGAAGACCTGGTCCGTTCGTTTCGACCACGACCGCCCTCTCTGTGAGGTCCTCGTCGATGACCGTCGCGCTCGTAGAGTCCAGTCGACCTCCTCCGATGCTCAGCGTATACCGCCTCGCTGTACCTCGATTCTCGGTCTCGGTCTGAACCTTGGCGCGGAGGAGTGGGGTCAAAGTTCGACATGGGGCGTTGCGTGGAGTCCCTTCTACCGTTCCTGACGTATCCGCGGGAATCCTCCGAAGTCCGGTCCTGCTCTCTCTCAAACTCTAGATCTTGAACGTGACATTGTAGACTATGTGCTTCTGTCTCCAATGTAGTGACGCGATCTTGCAGTTCTGAGTTCTCGACCTCGTATGCTTGGATCTGGGCTTCCATCTCTTGTATCTTGCTCGTCATATCGCTGATCTCGCGGGCGGACTTGGCGGTTTCTTTCCTCATCAGTGTGTCGCGCTCTTCGATTGCGACGTTCTCAGTGAGTAAGGCGTCCTTCTCCTCCAGGCGCTTCGAATACGAGACTGTCAAATCGCCTAGGGACTTGGTCGCCTGCGTGAGACGGGTATGGTAGTCGCTGGACATCTTTTTGGCAGCCGTCTTCTCTTGTTGGAGTCTTGCGTTGTCAGCTTCCTGGTCCGCGATGCGTGCAAGAAGCTCGGGAACCCGCCTCATTGGTGCCAAGTCGCCATCGATCGAAAGCGGCGCCGCACTGTGATGAAGTTAGCAAGAGCTCTTTGGGAGATCGTTTCAGGGTACACACAGCTCTTTAGGCGGCACCGGATTGACCTGGCGACTTGGTGTTGGGGCAGCAGACACTGCATCAGGCATGTCGACATTGCTAGGCTGACGACTGAGCCGAGGGTCACGGGCACTGTCATAGGTGTTGTTGAAGGCCATCAGAAGATTTTGAAAAACTGATGAAGATTTACGAGAAGAAGAGAAGAACCGTGGTGTTCTGGGGTAACATATCAGATCGTGCGTTTGTCGATGTGGACTTGGCTAGCGCGAATATACCGTAGGTGAGCACGTATTTACTGCGACTGCGGCAACGCCGTCACCCAACCAATCTCCCGCGTCTACGCCGACACCTTACGCTGGGAGTCATATTTCGCGCCCGTCGGTATAGCCGCGGCGACCTGACTCCCCGACCTAGCCAAAACAACCACAACCGCCACGATGACGCGAGGAAGTCTTTTACGACACATCTTCAGACATGGTCCGAATTCCAAACTCAAGCGCGACGCAGTCCAATCCAAAGTCGACGAGAATGAAAGTTCGCCTCTCGTCGCAAAGTCACCCGCAAACGAGTCCAAGCCGCTATCGCAAGATCAGTCACCACCACTAACACCCGAGCCACATACCGTACACATTCTTCCCGAGATCACCGAGGAGGGATCTAGCTCTCCAGCCGCCGATTCGCCTTCCGCATCTTCAAGCACAGGCAGTACAGTATCCGACCTCGCATCCATAGTTACTGTGCTTGCCGCGCACGCGCCTCTCATCAACCCCACAACTCTCACCACGCGCGACCTCCTCTACGCCGCCATCGATGAAGCGATTTCAGCCACGAAGAACCATCTCGACACACTAGCAACTGCATGGGCGCTACTTGAGGCCCTCGCTGGCTTCAGTGCGACAGTCGAGGTGCTGAAGCAGGAGATAGAGCTGAAGGTCACGGCGTCTGAGGCCAAGCTTGTGGAACTGGAAAGCTTTGAGGAGGCGGTCGAGGGGATGGCGTTCCCGGGTGAGCAGGACATAGTCGGCACGAATGTGGGTGATGTGGACGGTTCACCAGGTCGCTAGTTGGGGCATGGTCACAGGATGGTTGCATAAGCCATGTGTAGATCAAGTCTATGGCTCCGTAGGTTTCTCCAATCTGGAATACTGTCGCGTAATGGAAAGAAGACTAGCGGTCCAGGGAGAGCATGAGAAGATCTCCTACGGCTGAGTAGCAGAATGAACAGCATGAGCGAGGACATCATGAACTCATGAGATGCATCCACGGATGCCTACAATGTAACAATACTACCGAAATTGCAAAGGAAAGTCTTGTGGGTGATGGCGTTGAATCCACAATTCGGAACATCCGGACTAAACGGCGGACTACGAACCACACAAAAGTATCGAATGCACAACCAACCTCTTGATGTAGTCAGCCCACCCAGCTACCATATACGATTGTGCCCATAGAGATACTTGTCGGCGTACTCCGAATTGTAAGCGAATCGTACTGAACATGGATGGAGCGTTCGCTGATATGCGGTACCGAACAATGGGCAGCCAGTGATGCGACGTGCATATGTTTCGTGTGCTCATCTATGGCTTGCACCGACATAGTACCACGGACGCATTCAACAATTGAATTTAAAATTTCTTCATCTCTGTAGTCGACTGGTTTCGCGAAAAAAACCTGCACTCCGTCTTAACATAAAGCTTCCATTTCTCCATCAGCTCAACATCATCTTTATTCATCTACACATAGCACACCTTCTTCTCTAGTCAAGATGGTGCCAGCTAGACAATACCACGAGAGCCTCATACTATGCGAAATCGAAGCAAACAAGGACAGATACATACACTTTCTGCAAAGGCTTGTCCGAGCAGCAAGTCCCAACCCACCAGGCGACACCCGAGCGGCTGCAGATGTCGTAACGAAATTCCTTGCAGCCAACAACATCTATGCAGATATCGTTGCCCCGATGGCTCACATGCCCAACGTGGTTTCGGATTTCGAAGGCCGCTTGCAGGGCGGTCCTCGCGTCGTCTTCAACGGCCACATGGATACTTTCCCGGTCAATAACCCTGAGCGTTGGCGTTGCCCGCCATACTCTGGACATAACGATGGCACTTCGATACATGGTCTCGGGTCTGTCGACATGAAAGCAGGCACCGCAGCTTCCATTATCGCATTCACGTTGCTGAAGAAACGGGCCTCGCATCTTATCGGAAGCGTCGCTTTGACCGTGGTCTCGGACGAAGAGACAGGAGGCGAATGGGGGACGAAGTATTTGCTTGATCACTGTGGGGATGAGTCACCTTGGCTGGGCGATTGTGTTGTCAACGGCGAGCCTGGTGGTCTACAGTCCATTAGATTCGGCGAGAAGGGTAAGTGAGATCTACCCATGAACAGCTTTGAAGATCCATGCTAACTTCGGATGGTAGGCACTCTGCGCTTGACCTTCACAGTCAACACTCAAGGGGGTAACGGAGCGTATACACACAATGGCTGTGGAGCCATCGTACACGCTTGCTCTTTGATAACAACCCTGAAGCGCGTGGTCGAGTCGATACCCGTAAAGATTCCGCACCAACTCAGGGCTTATCTTCACTCCAAGAAAGCGCACGCCGTTACTGATGAGATCATGGGCGCTGGGGCAGCAGCGAATATGTTCTCACCCACTTTGAACATCGGCATCATCAACGGCGGCGTCAAAGTCAACGTCATCCCTTCAAAGTGCGTCTTTGAAGCCGACATCCGCCTGCCGATCGGACTCGAGGCTGAAGCTGTACTCAATGAGATTGACAGCCTGCTGCTATCGTCCCCTGGCGTATCATACTCCGTGCAAGAAGCAGCCAGCAACCCGGCAAGCTTATCGGAGTACAATCACCCGCTTTCGGGGTACATGGCCGATGTTGCGCGAGACGTTACTGGGAGGGAGCCGGTACAGATAGTTGGCCTGGGTGGTACGGATTGTAAGTTTTATCGCTATCGCGCTGTACCGGCGTTTGTGTTTGGACCTTCTCCAGGCGGAATGGGTGCAGACGGTGAAGCTGTACTCATTGAAGAATTTATGACTGTGATCAAGACACATACACTGGGGGTCTTCCGGTATCTCTGGGACGATAAAAGGTGGGATTTCAGTAGGGGATTGGGAGAGAACACTCCCACAGGCGAGAGAACGGCTCTCGAGATCAGAACTCGCAAGTAAAATATGCCGTAGGGGGTTAGCCTAAAACCTTCGCTCTGGTTACTCTAGGATTGATGCGCTTGAATGAGCAGCTGCCCCAAAGAGTACCAAGATGTCGCTGTAGATGTGATGCCTCGGCGAAGTTTATGACGACTATGTACTTGGCCACGCACATGTGGGGTGAAATAGTGACGGTCCGCGCCGAAGCACAAGCGCAAATAAATAGGACGAGTAACCATGTGGACGCTACAGCCAGCCAAGACCAGACGGACAAGGCGCGATGCAATAGATTAACTTCCAGAGATGAGTTCGTTCACGGCGCTGTGGCGTATTAGTACTAGATGACAGCTGTTGCACAACTTTGTCACTTCTGGCAGCGACGATCAACACAACATACCGAAAGACTCCGCGGACCTAAGGAAGTACCTCTCACCACTTCCGCGAACTTCCGCCTGATCAACACATCCAGCTCCGACAATGACATCCAACTCCCAAAGCAGCCATCGGCACATGAAACTAGCGGTGTCTGGAGGCCTAACGTCATACCTGGGTATCCGATGACGCTCGTGGGTCCTCCCCGGTACAAACGAGATAACAGGCACAGTTTCAAACAACCACAACGGCATTGACATGTCGCAACTGAATCGGCGGCATCACCAAAAAAGGCAGCAGGAACAAAAGTTAAGGAAAGGCTCGACACTTCGCTTCGTCAGTAGTCCAGACCCAGCTAGCGCACTGTCTCCAGCGATCGGCCCTCGTGGTAACCGAGCGGGAAGTGGAGACCAATAAAATACAGGGGTCCAGCTGCCCTTAGCTGACACCGGCACACACGGTTGCATTGGACTGACGGGACCAGCCTGCATACGGAAGCCATCCGTTCTCCTGTTTTCCTGGCCTGAAATTTCGGTTTGGCGTTGGCGTTTCCTTCTTCCCGTCATTAATATCCTCAGATACTTCGTCTCGCGAGGCGCTTTTTGTTTTGCTTCTTCCTGCGAATCCTTCACAATCCTTCGCGATCCTGCGATTACTTATTCCATGCCAATCATCGGCCGCATATCTCTACACCGCCGACATATTCCCGAAAGACCCTGCACAACCCACAACCCGCAACCACGATGCCGGGAACTACAATGACGAAAACGAGTGCTTACCCCTACATCCTCACCACAGTCGCAACACGGAAAGAAGGAGTTTCGCGCGCGCAATTCTACCAACACAACGAGGAAAAGTACGCGCCACTTCTCAAAAAGATCGCGGGGAAAGTGCATCCGTTGTCGTGGACGCGGCACTACCATGTTGACGACGAGGAATGTCCAATCGGCATTCCGCGGGTGTTGATTGGGGTTGATGACGGGATGGACTGGGATTGCATGGGTACGATGGCGTTTGAGGATGAGTTGCATTTGCAGCAGTTTATTGCGTTTATGCATAGCGATGCGGCGATTCCGGTGCTGGAAGAGGAGGAGAAGTTTGCGGAGCCGACGAAGACGAAGTTGTTGGTTATGAAGAAGGGGGTTAGTGTGAGGGAGGGTTAGATGCGTGGTTTGGTGATGGGTTTGGGGCGTTTGGGAAGGAAAAGTGGGATTGGAAGACAGGCTGGAATATGGTCTTCTGGAATGCAATTTTGTCGGAACAGGATGCTTATTCTGGGTTACCAAGGATATTTGACTGATGATATGGAGGAGGGTGGTCATCACAAACTTCATTCAAGTGGCAGTACAAACATCCATACCTCTCACGACGTGCCTACGAAGGAAGCCACTCCCCATCCCAGTCCCACCTCTTCATAGCCGGCCCCCACGAATGCTCTACACACCCCGTCCTCTCACCCCAGTCATCATAGCCATCCTGACATAGCATCGGAACCCTGTCAATCGCCCTCTCCAAAGAGTCATCCTCTTCGACTTGTATAATACCACCATCTCGAATCCATACGTCGTGCGGAAAGTGCGGCATCGCTCTGTGATGATACATATGTCGAATGTGTCTGTGGTTGATCTCAACGAAGCATTTGGCTTCTTCCTCGTTCTTGTAAGGTGCACAAGTGACGAAGACTGTGACAACGGTGTTGTTCCATAGTCCGCCGGCAGCGTCGTGGAAACGGTCGTCACCAGGAACATATCTAGCTCTAGCAGCTTGATGGAAGAAGCGGGCGACGTTGGGAGCCCCGGTGGGATCGGTAGGTTGAAATCCAATGGACTTGGGTAGTCTCTGGAGGATGGCTTCGATGTCGTACTTCTCACCGTCTTCGACGGCCATGCGTTCGCGAGGGATCTGCGACATGAGGTACCCAAGTACCTTGCTTTGTCTCATCTTTGTCCCACTTTTGCCGAACTCGATGAGCTTGGTTGTTGACTCTTCGATGAACTGTCGGACTAGTTTCTCTACGATGGCGTGAGCTTCGAGGTAGATCTGCTTGCTCGTACGTAGTATGGCAGTCGGCAGATGTCTTGTGACCAAGATAGCAATGAAGCCGTCGATCGATACCTTGGTGTGTTTGATCTGGCGTGGCAGCCGCTCGTAGACCATTAGGCGCAGTTCGACCGGAAGATTCATGAATAGAAAATGGTTGTGTTTGTCCATCGACATATCGGCGGATGAGGGGATGTATGGGCTGATTTTGGAAATAAGAATTCGTATGGATGATTGATATATGAAAAACAAGGGCACCAACCGTACCCACCACGCCAGCGGCTGCGATTTTCGACGTCCTACAATGTATTAAGTCAATTGCGAATTAGCAACGAGATCATATGACAGCTTCCATACTATAAAGATAAGAGACATTCTATCGGAGAGACCATAAACCATTACCGTGCCGTCCCCAAGCCCACGGGTAAGCCGGAAAGAGCCATGCCGGATAATCTGTAAGATGATTGGCGAAATCTGGCCGGCAAACGGACGATTGATATCGGATCTCCGGAAGTAGTTGTATGTCGAGATCTAGCCAGTCGAAGATGATTAATCATGCGCGTCGGGAGAACGTGAGTTGTGATAATCACGTGACGGTCGCGACACCTATGTAAGGGTCGCGAGATACATGAGAGCGATATTGGGATGCCATTGGATGCCTTTTCGCCCGGAAGAATCTTCGATCGAATCACCCTAGAGCCTACATTAACGTTAGGTTACCTACCTTGCTTGTTTTCATGTCGATGTAGTCTCTAGACCTGTTCATTTTTTTCTTGGTAGCACCGTATCACCAATCTTCGTGAAAAGGCGCTATACTACCCACATCGCCTCTATTGAGTTATGGCTACCGGAACTGCACCGTAGCGGTATCTGCGGTATCGTGTCATACGACTGCGTTGATGCAACAGTCCGCGAACACTTCCAGCACGTTCTATAATCCCGTCGCTACAAAGAACGCCATGTCCGTATTCTTCACGAAGAAGGCAACCAATCTTGAACCCAATCCTCCTGGCTCATACATGGCTCGAAGACAAAGCTCCCATCCTTATGAAACTTGTCGATATTGAGTCCGACGGGCAGATTGTTCGGCGCAATTCTGATCTCCCCGTCGGGCGCGTCTATGAGCCTACACATGTTATCTGCTTTGATAGCCTTGTAGCGGCGAGTTACAGCAGGGTAGCCCATAGCAGTGTGATGGGGAGCATGTACTTGTGACGCGACATAAGAGCGAAGCATCGACCTAGTCTTCCAATCATCGAGGTCTGCGAAGCATACAGTAGCTATAGTGTCGTACCATGCTTGCGTGTCTGCTTTTGTCGCCAGAGCCGCTTGAACAAGAAAGACGGCAATGTGGCGTGGTTGTCTCATTTCCCACGGGGAGGGATCAAAGTATGAATATCCCTGGAAATGTCGCCGGATCGTGGCGTTCACATGGAAAGGACGACCATTCTGTAGGTGATTCTGTAGCTGCGTCAGCTTCGAACATGGACGATTATTGAAACATAGAGAACGACTAACCAGATAGGCTTTGCGTTCCGTGCGCATAAGGTAGATGAGCTCTTGTAATGCGACCAGGTCGGTGTCATGGCCTATGACCCGTGGCTGCGATTCCGTCACGAAAGTCCGGATCAGATTTGCGACGATGCCACCCGCCTCGGCAAAGACCTGACGGCTTGTCCTCAAGATAGCTACTGGGAGGTGACGTGTGACCACGACCACTGTTGAGCCGATTTTCTCGTTCGTGCTGGCGTAATATCCAGTCACATAGCGAATCTCAGTGTGCTTGATCTGACGGGGTAGGCGCTTGTAGACCATGAGGCGCAACTCTGCGGGTAGGTCCATGAAGCGGAAGGGTTTGGTGATATCCTGGGTAGACATCGTGGGGGTGCACTTCCGAGCTTCAGTGAGCGACGGTTTCGCCTCTGTGTGACGTGCGCAATCTCGGTTGTGCTTGATTGCGCGGATTGGCAATCGGAGTTTGCTAAGGTCAAAGTGAGGAAGAGGACGAAAGTGAAGGTAGTCCTGGCACCTGGGCAGGAGCACTCGACTTTAGCGCCGCTTGGTGTCCAAAACAGGCGATTACGTTGATGGAATGCCATCTATCGAGTGTCGGAGGCAGGCACCCTGGAACCAACTGTAGATCACTGGTCCAGGCTGGCTCGTTGATGCCTTGTGCTCCTGCATGATCGTGCGCTGCCTCACCAACTCGGGCATTGCGGTATAAGCCTCTATGTGCTTTGCTTTGGTGCGGCATCGGGACCTATTGTAGTCAATGGAGTCTCTCAACGACGTCAGAATTAGACAGAGACTGAAACGAGACTAAATGGTGCAAGATGACACTGTTGAGAAGATTAAGAGTTAAACATACTAATCAGACAAGGCGGAGAAAGATCAAATATACCATCTCCTTACCTGCCCGAGATATCATCAAGACCAGCCATCCATCCCGGCCACCACCACCCCACCACTCTCCCACCCAAGCCATCTAAACCTTCATCCACAGCGCCAACACACCCTTCGCATACTCCACAATCTCATCACCACCAAGCTTACTCTCCCCATACAACCGATCCACAAACGAAATCGGCACCTCCGCAACCGTACACCCCATCGCCTTGGCCCTAACCATCATCTCCATCTGAAACGTATACCCCTTACTCTCCGTCTGCCTAATAACCTTCTGCAGCACCTCCTTCTTATACAACCTAAAGCTGCCCGTAAGATCACTCACACCAGGCCTGAGCACCGTATCCGCAAAAAGATTCGCCCCCCTCGACACAAACTTGCGCTTGAGATCCCAGCCGAAGACACCGCCATCGCCCGCATACCGTGTCCCGGTAACGATATCGTAGTTCTTGGTCTTTTGCAGCGCAATCATGGGCGCGATGAACTTGGGGTGGTGGCTGAAATCCGCGTCCATGATGATGACGAAGTTTCCGGTTGCGAATTGCAGGCCGTGGACGTAGGCGGTTCCGAGACCGAGTTTACCGGCGCGTGCGCGGATTTGGATGCGGGAGGGTGTGTAGACTTTTTGGAGCTGGGCGGCGATTTCTTGGGTGCCGTCGGGGGAGCCGTCGTCGATGATGATAAGTTCCCAGTCGAGTTTGCTGTTCATACATTGTCAGTGGTGCCATTGCGTTATGAGGGGCTGGGTGTTGCGACGTACTTCTCCTCAAACGTCTTGGCCAGCAGCCATGTTATTATGGGCAGATTGCGGCGCTCGTTGTAGGTGGGGAGGAGCACCGAGTACTTGTTCGTGTTTGCCATCTTTGCAATCGCGTGTGTGAGTTGTGTGTCTGCGGAATTGGGTGAATGAGCGACTGCAGGTGAGGGTTGACGTTGGGGGAGTTGAGGATTCGCGGAGGTGATCGTGTCCGCAAGTAGCTCGGGGCTGTCGGCGGACCCTGGACTAGCCTCTTTGGACCATCTCCTTCCGCAACGACATGGCCGAGTTTGGGTGGCCTTACACGTCGATGTAATATTCATCGATATTCCCGCGCGAATTAGAAGAACATTGGATCGGTGCTATCGGATTTGTAGGGTAATGCCGGTCGATACGCCGGATACCCTCTCACCATGCCACCCACACCCCAGAAGAAAAACCTCTTCCTCTGTCTCGACGCCTTCGGCACTCTCTTCACACCCACGAAACCCATCCCAATAACTTACGCCGAAGCCGCCCTCAAGCACGGCATCGCCATAAACACGCCCGAACCCGCCACCCAAGTATCCTCATCCTTCAAATCCGCATTCAAGCGCCTATCATCAGAGCACCCAAACTATGGCCGAGCTACAGGCATGGGTGCAGAAAAATGGTGGGCCAAAGTGATAAAGGAAACATTCACACCTTTCCTCGATCCCAACCAAACCTTCCCCAAGTACCTCGTTCCAGAGCTCCTCCACACCTACTCGTCACGGAAGGGGTATACACTGTACCCCGACGTCCTCCCCTTCTTCCACATGATACGGCATATGAAAACCCACCGGGTACGTCACGGCGCTTCTCATGGACTCTGGCCCTGGGACAAGACTATAGTAGGCGTCATAACGAATTCAGATGACCGCGTCCCGAGGATATTGTCGTCCCTCGGTGTCAATATGGGTCCCTGGCATCACCCTGTTATAAGAGCCTCCGGCCCCAAGGATAGAGAGTATGACATCGATTTCACGGTCCTGTCTTACGACGTCGGAGTCGAAAAACCGGATCAAAGGATCTTTGCTGCGGCGGAGGAGATGCTTGACCGGAAGCTAAAGGACGCTTCGATGGCCAGTGGCGAAGACATCAGAGCAGAGGAGTTTGAGAAGATCTACGTAGGCGACGACATCCACAAAGATGTGTTCGGTGCTCAAGACGCAGGCTGGTCGAGTGTACTCCTACAGAGAGATGCAGGTACCCAAGGTGGCCAAGGCTACGGGCTGAAGATGGAGAACAAGGGCGAGGAGACTGGAGAAGGGGGAGAGACAATCAGGGAGAATAGGTTAGTGCGACAGGTTGGCTCCTTGCTCGATCTGTGTGCGTGGCCACGACAGGTATCTGAACGGCGTGAAGTACCGCCCGTGCGATATGTCTATATAAAGGAGGAGGTCCCTGAACATAGATCGCCAGGGCAGAAGAAGGGTGGATCACGGAGCCCGAAGTAATTTGGATGGCGCTGCTTGGTACATTCAGATAATGAACAGCCGGTTACAAGCCCATCGATAGTTTTCCATCATCCAAACATCACACTCTCTTCCAAGGTTACTGTCCACCCGCACACTCGTCACATCAGCGAATACCATCCATTGTATCATACGTCTCATTGCAGTTCATTCCATGTCAGTCGACAATCCAACCTCCAACCACCAACTCGCCAGAGACGAAAGACACTAAAGTCCGCATCTTGTCCACCAAACCGTCATATCCCCATCCATACCACCGAACCATCTTGCCATTCGTGCCGAAGCCCCACCGCAAAAAGAAACATACGAAACATGATCATGTACAGAATCCACCAAACCAACCAGAGCCAAAAAAGGCACCGAGCCAAGTTGTTATCCAAAGCCCCCTCCAAACCCTTGATTTTCGCAGGATTCCGTTTGCCAATTTTTGCGCCTGAAAGGTAATGCCCGACTGTGGTGTCCGCGTGGTATTAAGGGTTTTGGGTGACATCGTGGTATTGGAATTCGACTCGTAGTGTACCGTTATAGTGCAAACAAAACGTGTGATTTGCTACACGATGAGAAACTACCTCATTCGAATGCGCGTTGGAAACGGATGTTCTTGTGTCACAACTCCTCATCCTCTTCCATCTTGGTTTCGATGGTGGGGATGTTTCCGTCAGAGTTGGCTCGGCCTTGGTTGTGGGCGTCCATGAGGGCTTGGCCTAGGCTCTTGCGCACGTTGTCGTCGAAACCGGGTAATGAAGCGCGCTGCTTCTTGTAGGGTGAAGCGATCGAGTTTGTACTGGGCTCTCCGGAGGTGTTCGCGGCGGCGGATGATGATGCCTCTCCTGTCGACGCGTTTTCTGGTGCTGGCGTACCGGAAAGAGGAGACCCTGTCGAGTCGGAGTGGGAGGGTCCTGCGGGGCGGCCGAGAGGTTCTGCGGAATGTTGACGCTTCAGCTGTGATGTGTTAGTAGACAAATTTCGTGCGACAGCAATACACATACCTTGATCTTGCGCACGCCCTCTGCAAGTTCGCCTTGCCTGTGAGCATCCTCAGGCGACAGCAAGCCCTTGTCAAGAACTTCCTTGTCATCATCCGCGTCCTCTACCTTGACATCGTCCTCGTCGTCGGCGTCGCTGTCCATGGCGTCCTCCGTCTTCTTCTTAGACTTGGGCGAAGTCTCTCGGTAACCTCCAAAGTTCTTTGTTCCAGCGGCCGCGTTTAGAGGCTTCAGGCTGCCAAAGTCGAGTGCGCCGGATTTCCGCTTGGTCTGTGGCGAGGTGATCTTGGGCGTCTCCTTGGTGTTCAGAATACCCATCTTCCGCAGTTGACCTGTCATTGGTTAGCGAAAATCTGGTATCCCTTGCTGTAAACTTACGCTCTCCGCGGTACAAAAAGGTAAAGACGGCGTAGGGCTTGTCCGGGGGATCTATTCCGGTCACAGTCTGAGTGCTGATAGACTTGGGGTCCAGCGTCTTAGGCTTTGCGAAACTCGTTGTGTGGTCAACGTCTTCGCCCTCTCCTCCTCCGTTTTGCTCGTCGTCATCGTGTGCGTCGAACTGGGGTGAGTACTCGCCGCGCTTGATCTCTCCAGACGCCAGGACGCGGAACAGGGCGACCTTGATCTGTCCGGCTGCCTCGGGCATGGGGGGCTCGTCGTCCGAATCGGAGTCGGTGGTGAAGAACTCGTCGTTGCCGGAAAGTGTCTCGACAGGCGCGTCCTTGCTTTCGCTGTAGCGCAGTACACCATTGCCGGAGGTCTTCTTGTCCTCGTCGCTGCTGTCCATGGCCTCTCTCCGCTTTGCCCGCTTCTTTTCCAGGCGCTGCTTTCTCCGCTCAATCTTGGCGGCCACGTCCTTGTCCTTGCCCTCGAGATCCAGACCGTTGAGCCATCTCTCGAGACCGACCTCGCGGAAGAGGAACTCGCGCTCTGCGAGACCCCCGCCTTCTGACTCTGGCACGCTGACCCACCGTGAGTTGACCCACGTCTCTTCGCCGCGTCGCAACAGGGTCGCTACTTCCTCCTTTGCCCGACCGTCAAAGTATATGTATGCAGCGATTGTCTCGTTCGGCGAGGTGGTCAAGGGCTTGTACGGGGCTATCGTGGGACCGTACTTGCCCCGCTCTCCGGTTTGACCTGGGAGGCCCCCGACAATCTTCGCTTTCGGGTTGGGGTCATCGTCAGTTGGCTTGGGCGTCGAGTAGGGCACGTGGAGACCTGGGGTGAGCAGAG